AAATAAATCAAAGTAAGTCGTTGATGAATATGTACAGGATTCGTGATATATCCCTAAAATAAATCAAAGTAAGTCGTTGATGAATATATACCGGATTCGTGATATATCCCTAAAATAAATCAAAGTCGTTGATGAATATATACCGGATTCGTGATATGTCCCTAAAATAAATCAAAGTAAGTCGTTGATGAATATATACCGGATTCGTGATATATCCCTAAAATAAATCAAAGTAAGTCGTTGATGAATATGTACCGGATTCGTGATATATCCCTAAAATAAATCAAAGTAAGTCGTTGATAAATATGTACCGGATTCGTGATATATCCCTAAAATAAATCAAAGTAAGTCGTTGATGAATATGTACCGGATTCGTGATATATCCCTAAAATAAATCAAAGTAAGTCGTTGATGAATATGTACCGGATTTATGATATATCCCTAAAATAAAGTCACCAAGGCAATGTTACCATCATTAACGTTGCAGAGACCACCAGTCTTGATACCAAAGTTTTACCCCCAGTTTTGACCCCAATGGATACACTGTCAAGGGTCGACATAAATATCATTTGCTAACATTTCATCGTTAAAAATAACATGGCAAGTAAATCGAAACTTAAAAATCTCGAAGTGATGCTAGGCTTCATAACTTTTGTTTGAGGTTTAGGTTCTTCGATTTGCTTGGGTTGCAGGGAAAAAAAAACTAATTACATGGGCTAAGAAAGTCAATACATGGGCCTAAGAAAGTCAATGATTGGGCCTGAGAAAGTCAATACATGGGCTTGAGAAAGTCAATACATGGGCCTAAGAAAGGCATTACATGGGCCTGAGAAAGTCATTACATGGGCCTGAGAAAGTCAATACATATGGGCCTAAGAAAGTCATTACATGGGCCTGAGAAAGTCATTGCATGGGCCTGAGAAAGTCATTACATGGGACTGAGAATGTCATTACATGGGACTGAGAAAATCATTACATGGGACTGAGAAAGTCATTACATGGGCCTGAGGAAGTCATCACATCAGACTGAGAAGAACATTGCAGATGACAGGGAAAATAACTTTCGAATGATACTGCATATTCAAGCGAATCATAGTTGAGCTGAATATTATCTTTCAATGTATATATTACGTTCTGTGCATAAACAAAGGAAAAGTAAAGACTATAAATCATCAATTAGTCATTAGTCTGTTTGCTTCTTTAATGGTGTTATAGTTATTCTTCTAAACCCGGTAGATTGGCATAACCTTCTAAGGTGTAAACGTGAGTAAAATTTGGTTTGGTCATGCGTTTTACAGCAAGTAGTTTATTTAGTGCCGCGGCAATTTAAATAAAGCGAATTGCCAAAAGAAAATTGGATAGCAGACACTGACATATCAGATGGCAGGATCTGAACTTGTACCCTGTTGATCCAGAATCCTGCGCCACTGAGCCGTAGCGGCTGTTGCCTCCATTTCATGACATGCAGAAGAGTGTAAAGAGTCCATTCTGCACCCTACCATTCGCTGTTGGTAACATCGAACCTAATCTAGATTCCACCTCCCGCAGGGGATAACATCGATCCGATTCTACACCCCACAATCAGCAAGAGGTAGCATGGAACCTGTTTTAAATCCCACCTCCGCAAATGGTGATACCGAGCTTATTTTACTTCCCACCGCCGGTAGGTGGTAACATGAAGTATATTCTACACCCCATCTCCATCTGGGGGTTAGATGGTAATATTGAGTCTATTCTACATCCCACTTCCTGCGATTGGCAACAAAGAGCATATTTTACTTTCCATCTTCCATATGAGATAACACCTGGCCGAATCTAAATTCCTTTTCCAGACCTGGATAACATGATATAATTATTAACACTACCTGACGACTAGTTTTTTTTTTTAAATAAATAATAATGTTTATCAATCGACTGATCAACTGAGTATTTAAGCGATAGAAAAAGACGAGTGATTGGTTGGGTGACAGAATGAGTGAATGGGCCAGTAAGAGAGAATGTTTGTAATGATTTGTTGGTTAGTTGATTGATTATTTAAATAGTTGTCAAGATTTTATGACTTAAATGCTGAAAATAGAACAAACACGTATGGTATATAAGAACTCACGTTCAAATTTAGAAGCAAAGTAATTTAGACTTTAAAGTGTTTGTGTTTCACAAATCATTGTTTATTCCAGATTTAAAACTATTATAGTTTAAATAGGCGATAAATTAGATTATAGATAAAGTAAATTCATTCCTTTAATTCCGAGTTCCTGTGTTTGATATTTACTTTTAAGTCATCATTATCAAGATCAAAACCTCAACCACACTGATCCATCTGCAGCAAGTATTATTATTATTATTATTATTATTATTATTATTATTATTATTATTATTATTATTATTATTATTATTATTATTATTATTAAATTGTGACAGAAGACCAATTATTATGAACACCCAAATTCCGTTGCAATAGAAGCATTAAACATATATTTAGCTTCATTCTTCTTTTAAATATGTATATTTCAAACACGTTTTCTCAATTACATATTCACATGACAAAGAATCTCTGGGCAAGCGCATGCTTATATTACAGTCGGGTTATCGAATTAAGGTCGGTAGACGCTTGGGAACGTCCTCCGTGCTGGTTCGCGGAGTGGATTAACACATTAGACTCACCTAGCTTGGGAAAGGTACATTAGCTTTGTGAACAAGAAAAGCAAATTTTTTAAATAGAGGTAAGAGTTTTCAAATAATATGTTAAAATTATATCATCGCTTTATTTGTTAACTTTTAGTGAACTGTTCAGTTAAATTAAAACGAGTTGAAATTTACAGCAGATACAATACAAGAAGAAATGAGTACAACAATTAAAAGACGTATGTTAGAACTAGAAAGAAATAAAACAACGGAAAACTAAACAATGTAGTTGAGCAATTTTTTAACGCTTTTAATGTGTGTTTTTATTTATCTGGTTCTAATTTATTTTTGAGATAATGCTAAATAATAACTTTGACTTTTTATAGTCACCATAGAGCATACTCATCCACGGGCATGAAGATTGTTTTCAGGTACCTTTAGTACGACCACTAAGAACCGAATAATAATTTGACTTTTTATAGTCACCATAGAGCATGCTCATCCACGGGCATGGAGATTGTTTGCAGGTAGCTTTAGAACGACCACTGAAACCGAATAATAACTTTGACTTTTACAATGATCACAGTTCATGCTCAGCCTCAAGCGGGGCTCCGGGTGGCTGATTGGTCTAAGGCGCCCGTCTTTACAGATCAATGAAGTATCACCTCTGTCCACGTGTGTTCAATTCTCGTCCCTGATAACGTGGATATTTGAGAACACTTGTCAGAATCTTCCTGTGGGTCGGTGGTTCTTCCTGGGATTTTCCTCTACCAAATATACTGTGCTGGAAAAAGGCATTAGACCGACACACAACCTATCATTCACAGTAAAAGGGTTTCCATGCACATATGGTTAGACTTCGTATTTTAAATGGATACAATCTTATACTGACACTATCATATGTTTATCATAAGAATGATAAAATACATAGGCATAAGAATTAATGTGCAGAGAAAAATAAATTATTCTAACAACCCATATATGTATAAAACAAACAATATCCTATGAATGAAATAAAAGCCGCATAGGAACAATTGCAGTGGCACTTTTGCTAATGTATTGGTACAGTTGATTAAAGTGGCAGTGTCTTTGTATCCACATTATGCATCCTTTCTGCTGCTGCTCTTACAAAAAGAGCCACAGTTATTACTACTACAACCATATTCATTTAGAACAAGATTAAATCTGTTTTTTGGCTACAATTTATAGAAGTATGCAATGTTTATTTCTTAGCCAAAGCTTTCAGTTATGTATAAATGCATGTATGCATGTTTTGACTTGACACAAATTATTCAATTTTAAGTTCATTCGTACATGACATTCTGTATTTTCAAATGTGGCTAAACGGGGACGTTTTACATTTGTTTTAGCACAACTCACCTTGATTTACATCAGAAAATGTTTCTTATGGCAATAACAAATATGACATTTGAAATAAAATGTTTGAACAATAAAGTTCACATTTTGTGTGAAATCAATGGAATGGTGTCTGATAAATTTTTTGTATATTTCTTTTGGCTAGGCTTCTATGTACTATTTTCCCAATATTTCGTTCCATAACATTTCCCACATGTTGACCCACAATATGTAACCTGATGCAATTCCTAACACACGGCCTTCACCGAATGCCATAGACAATTGGAGAAGTCGCTGCTAGGCAGGGTTGACTGACACGTCAAAATGTCCATCATGACCATGTTATGTAAGGCTTATACAATAACCGGGTCTGTTTGATTGCTTTCTCAACAAATCAAAAACTCAGATTATGTGAGAAAATTATAATTTCTGGAAAACGCGTAATGCATATTTTCCTATGGGAAAGATATACGAAAACCACACAGGTCCTCGCCTAAGGAAGACAATTTATAAAAGAAATCAGAACAAGTACACTAAGTCAATTTTATCTAAATATTTAATGAGAACCGGATAACTGGTTCTTTTTATTTCTAAGATTTTAATTTTAATGTGCACTGAGGACTTAAACGTACTTAAAACTTAAGAGAAGCAAAATTCTTTACTTAGCATCTTCTTACAACTGACCAGAAACAATGGGAGAACTACATTGTATGTAATTGGATATTGTTAAGTAATGTGGGACACAACAGATGGATATTGCTAAGTAATGTGGGACACAACAGATGGATATTGTTAAATAATGTGGGATACAACATATGGATGTTGTGCGTGTGTGTATATGATTTGGATTTTTGAACGTAGCTTTAATATTGTCTCAGTCATATCGCTACGATGGCTGCAGTGTGGCAGTTTATAATGTTGTCTAGCATTGGGGCATCATGAAGGAGACATATATCCCACTCAGTCACATTATCCTGACATCAGGCAGCTGTTGGTAACATTTATGTAAGTCTTTGGTATAACTCGGGCGAGGATCGAACCCACGACCTCGCGCATTCGAGGCGGACGCTCTAACCACTACACTACCGGAGCGGTTGATATTGTTAAGTAACGTGGACCACAACATATGGGTATTGTTAAATAACGTGGGACACAATAGTTGGGTATTGTTCAGTAATGTGGGACACAATAGATGGGTATTGTTAAGTATTGTGGGACACAATAGATGAGTATTGTTAAGTAATGTGGGACACAATAGATGAGTATTGTTAAGTAATGTGGGACACAATAGATGAGTATTGTTAAGTAATGTGGGACACAATAGATGGGTATTGTTAAGTATTGTGGGACATAATAGATGAGTATTGTTAAGTAATGTGGGACACAATAGATGAGTATTGTTAAGTATTGTGGGACATAATAGATGAGTATTGTTAAGTAATGTGGGACACAATAGATGGGTATTGTTAAGTATTGTGGGACATAATAGATGAGTATTGTTAAGTAATGTGGGACACAATAGATGAGTATTGTTAAGTAATGTGGGACACAATAGATGAATATTTTTTTAAGTAACGTGGGATACAACTTATGGGTATTATTAAGTAATGTTGGACACAATCGTTGGGTATTGTTAAGAAATAGGAAATACAACAGGTGAATATTGTTAAGTAATGTGAGACTCAATCACAAATTAAATAACGATAAGCAAAATAAATTGCAAATCTTAGCTTAAATCATTCCGATACTATTGCTTACCTTTTGTTCCAATTTTAGATTTGCTTTACCTTTAGCTGTAAAATTTTAAATTCGTTGCGTTTTAAAATATATTAAAATGAAAATATTGTAGGTATAAAAAATTGGTATGTAGGAATAACATAGCTAAATTGATAATTTTTAATCGTCAATACTTGATAAATGCAAGATTAAAAAACACCGTTTAAGTAACAACAAAAGCAACAATAGTTAATGTACGTTTATCATGCAGGATGGTATCATGTTGTTATATTTTTATTATGATTATTATTATTATGATTATGATTATTATTATGATTATTATTATTATTATTATTATTATTATTATTATTATTATTATTATTATTATTATTATTATTATTATTATTATTATTATTATATTA